CAGTTCCCTCTCTCACCACGCCCTCATCCGAGCCTTCCTTAGAGGGGCTACCAATTTACGTCCCCCCACCCCCAGCCCACCGTTATCACACCTGGGACCTCAATAAAGTCCTCCTCTCCCTCACCAAAGAGCCTTTCGAGCCCTTGAGGGAAACGGGTCTCCAATTCCTAACATAAAAAGTAGTTTTCTTGGTGGCCATTACATCAGCCCGACGTATCTCAGAAATAGCAGCCCTGTCTTGTCAGGCAAGACCTCTGTGTCTTTCACGCAGATAGGGTGATCCTCCGACCCGACCCCACCTTTCTGCCAAAGGTTAATTCGGCTTTCCACAGAGCCCAGGAGTTTATCCTCCCCAATTTTTGTCCCAATCCGTCACAGGAAAGGGAACAACAATGGCACAAACTCGATGTAAGACGCGCCCTGCGTATTTACATCAAACGTACAAAGCCCTTCAGGAAGTCTGAGGCCCTATTTTTGTCTTTCCAACCCAAAACACTGGGTCACAGGGTGTCATCTTCTACCATAGGACGATGGATTAGGACGGCCATAGCCAAATCGTATCTGTCCCAAGCCCTTCAAGTTCCTAAGGGCATAACAGCCCATTCAACCAGGAGCACAGCCACCTCTGCGGCCTGGGCTACCCAGGCACCAATAATCGAAATATGCCAGGCTGCGACTTGGGCCTCACCTTCCCCCTTCATTCGGCACTATAAAATCGATGTGTTTGCTTCCGCGGAGGCTTCATTTGGCAGGCGGGTCCTGCAGTGTGTTCTTGGGGACCCTAGGGAGACTCAGGACCAGACGGAGTCCCTCCCTTAGGACAGGCCAAGCTTTGGTATGTCCCATCTCTGGATGCTCCGAGCAACTCATAGGAGAAGGGGCGTTGGTACTAACCTGATACGCCCTTTCTATTTGAGCTGCGAGGAGCATCCAGCCCCACCCTAATTTCCGTCCGGTGGGGGCCTCTCTTCTCGACCAAGGACCAAAATTATTTAGGTGATAGGGATAGGAGCAACCTTTTTTTTTCCTCTCACCTTCACAAAACTGGGGAACACCCTGGAAGAGTCACATGATGAAGGAGTATTCCTCAATTCGAGCTCAGCCTAAGCAAGCAGAGACTGAGGCACCTCCCATCTCTGGATGCTCCTCGCAGCTCAAATAGAAAGGGCGTATCAGTTAAGTACCAACGCCCCAAGTCACCCAGCTGGCTTTCGTGCCTAAGGCGGGACTAGAACTCCCTGTCTCCTGGTGATAGGCCCAAAGTCACCAAGCTGGCTTTCGTGCCAAAGGCGGAACTAGAATGCCCAGTTTCCTGGTGATAGGCCCAAGGTCATCCAGCTGGGTTTCGCTCCGAAGGCAGAACTAGAATTCCCAGTCTCCTGGTAATAGGCCCAATCTCCCACAGCTGACTTTCGTGCTTAAGGCGGGACTAGAACACCCAGTCGCCTGGAGATTGGCCCAAAGTCACCCAGCTGGCTTTTATGCCTAAGGCGGGACTAGAACTCCCTGTCTCCTGGTGATAGGCCCAAAGTCACACAGCTGGCTTTCGTGCCGAAGGCGGAACTAGTATTCCCAGGCTCCTGGGGACTGGCCCAAAGTCAACCTGCTGGCTCTGCTGTTTAAGGCAGTACTACAAGTCCCCATCTCCTGGTGATAGGCCCAAAGGTACCCAGCTGGCTTTCATGCTTAAGGCAGAACTACAACTCCCAGTCTCCTGGTGTTTGGCCCAAAGTCTCCCGGATGGCATTCGTACTTAAGACAGAACAACAACTCCACGTGTCCTAGTGATAGACCGAAAGTCACCAAGCTGTCTTTCCTGCCTAAGGCAGTAGTAGAACTTCCAGTCTCCTGGTGATTGGCCCAAAGTCTCCCGGATGGCATTCGTGCCTAAGGCGGGACTAGAACTCCCAGTCTCCTGGTGATAGGCCCAAAGTCATCCAGCTGGCTTTCGTGCCCAAGCCGGAACTAGAATTCCCAGTCTCCTGGTGATTGGCCCAAAGTCACCCAGCTGGCTTTCATGACTAAGGTGGGACTAAAGCTCCCTCTCTTCTGGCATCTATCCAGGTGCCTGGGCCTCCGAAGTCCAAACACCTGCAAGCTATCCCTAGGACATGCTGCCAAGATGCTGCTTGGGGCTGGGACCACCCCCTCCCTTTCTGTATGAAGCCCCCCCTTCCTGTCATTCCCCTGGTGGAGTCTGACTCTGAGGAAGTGGAGGAAGAGCCAACAGGGAGTGGGCATGTGGCTCCAGAGGTGGTGGAGGCGGCTTGGGAAGGGCAGAGACTGGCTGAGCAGTCAGAGGAGGATCCAGGCCCATCCTCTATCCATCCTAGGTCACAGGGAGGATAGGATCAGGGAAAAGCAAGGTCTACTCAAGAGGAGATTACCATGATCCTCCTGCTCAAGAAGGGGGAGTAGTTCCACTGGGGTGCTGAGGAGCAGGTAGCTTTTGAGGCATTGAAAGTCGCCTTTGCTTCTGAGCCTATCCTCAAACACCCTGATCCAGGCCAGCCATTTGTTGTGGAAACAGATGCTTCCAATGTGGGTGTTGGAGCAGTGCTCCTCCAGGCCTATGCTCCCGCAGGCACCTTGTTCCCATTCGCTTATTATTCCCGGAACTTGTCGGCTCCAGAGCGCAACTATACGATTTGGGACAAGGAGCTATTGGCGGTTAAGGTCGCTTTTGAGACATGGTGGCACTACCTGGAGGGGGCCTCATTACCAAATCGAGGTTCGGATGGATTATTGCAATTTGGAACACCTACGTACAGCTCAGACATTGAACCAGCCTCAGGTGAGATGTTCCTTATTCTTTGCTCGATTTGATTTCCAGATGACCTATGTTCTGAGTGAAGGGAATCAATGCGCCAACGCCCTATCTCGGAAGCCTGAGTATACCCGAAGGGAAGATAAAATCTTGCCAGTGGTTCCGTTGGAACGGTTTGCGGCCACCAAGGAACCTGTGGACCTCCGAGTGAGGATTCAGGAGGCACAGTGGCAGGACCCATTTGTGGCAGCTCAACATTGAGAATTGGATGAAAATGGGAGACGAGAGACTCCTTGGGCGTATATTGGGGTCCTGTTGCGGTTCTGTGATCGCATTTACATGCCTGGAGGTCCTCTTCATGGCCTTATCCTACTCCAATGTCATGATAGTCCAGTGGTGGGATACTTTGGGGTGTTCAAAACACTGCACCTCATCTCTAGGACATTTTGGTGGCCGAGACTTAAACAAGATGTGTCGGGATATGTGGCGTCCTGTGGGATCTGTCCCCAAGCCAAGTATGCTCCTGGTGCATCTCCTGGTCTCTTGCAGCCCTTGTCCACGCCAGAATGACCATGGGTGGCAATTTCTTTGGATTTCATCATTGAGTTACCACCATAGAATGGTGCCACAACCATTTTGGTGGTGGTGGATATGTTGACTAAAATGGCCCACTTTATTCCATGTGCAGGTCTTCCATCGGCCAAGATAATGGCTCAATTGTTTATCTCCCATGTTTTCCGGTTGCATGGGTTACCAGACCGCATGGTATCATATCGGGGGGTACAATTTACGGCATGCTTCTAGTAGACCCTACTTGCAAAACTGCAGGTTCAGGCATGTTTGTCGTCTGCTCATCACCCCGAAACTGATGGGGGGACAGAGAGTGAATGCTATTTTGGAGCAGTACCTCCACTGTTTCAGCAATACTCAACAATTGGGTGGAGGTGCTGCCAGTGGCGGAGTTCGCTTATAACAATGCTCAACATGCATCCACCCATGTGTCCCCTTTCTTTGCTAACTATGGGTTTCATCCACAACTTTTCCCTTTAGCCCCATCTGATTCCCCAGTTCCGGCAGTGGCTATGTTTTTGCAGGAGTTAAAAGCTGTGCATCACATGGTCCGCGATTAGCTAGAGAGCCAAGGAAGACTATAAAGTTTGCACACTGACATCGTTGCGATGTTCCACCTTTAGCGGTCGGTGATCGGGTTTGGCTCTCTATTTTTACCAACGACGCGACCATTGAAAAAGCTCGATCTCTGTTACTTGGGACCTTTTCTGGTCGAGGCGGTGATCAATCCTGTGGCTTATCGTCTCTCCCTGCCACGGACCATGTGTATCCATCCTGTTTTTAATCATTCCGTTAGTCCCTGCCTCGCCCGACAGTCCGCATCGACCGGCTCCATCACTGCCGGCCCCAGTAGCCCCTCTGGGAGAGTAGGAATACGAAGTGGATAGCATCTGAGATTCACGCCAGTTGCGGGGCCGATTTCAGTATTTGGTGGCATGGAAAGGTTATGGACCAGAGGACTTCACCTGGGTCGATGCCACTGATGTTCATGCTCCTCATTTGGTCTAGGACTTTCATGCTCGGTTTCCTCAATGTCCTTGTCCGCCTGGTCCTGGGGGAGGGCCCTGTGGGGGGGGGGGGGGGATAGTGTCATGCCCCTGGTGGAGACTCTGAGGAAGAGGAGGAACAGCCAACGGAGTAGGAGTGTGGCTCCAGACGTGGTAGAGGAGGCTGGGGAAGGACAGAAGCCAGCTGAGCAGTCAGAGGAGGATCCACGCTCATCCCCTATCCATCCTAGGTCATGCAGGGAGGAGAGGATCAGGGAAAAGCGAGGTCTGCTCAAGAGATTACCAGGATCCTCGTGGCTTGCAGGTGGAAGCTATGTACGTAAGTTGCACAGTTAGAATTGAAGTCAGTTAGTGTTCACCTTGAAAGAAGCTTATACTTGCTGGCATTCTTCCCATGGACTTTTCTCGGTTATTTTCCTGGACTTTATAATTAGTTACCTCAGCTTGCTTCAGAACTCTCATCAATGCGGTTTGTTTTGGTTTTTCTTTTTGCCTCATTATTTACTTTTGTGACTTTAAACTGTGCCTAATAAAACAGTGAAGTTGAAGGCTTTACCAGACTTTAATATATGTTTTGGGTTATTTTGAGAGACTACGGGTCATCACACTTCCCCTCCCTCCAAGGCCAAGACACCTCCTGTAGCCAGGGCTCTTACCTCAAGGCATCGAGCATGGGGAGGAGGTTCAGGAGCGCAGTGTCCCCGGGGTCGCTGAACCACGACTTGATGGGGATCGCGTTATCTGCCAGAGAGAAAAGCAAGCACCTCATTCACCCAACCCAAGCAGAGACCATTGGAAGCCCGGGGGTCAGCCATATCCATATTCTGGGCTCCCCCGAGGCTATGCGGATGGGTCTGAAGCCTGGGAAAAAAAGCGGGGCAGCAGCCCTCTTCCACCAAACCTACAGCAGAGGGTTGTGTAAACATGGCCCCTTTAAAACCTGTGGACTTCCACTCGGAGTAACTTTCTTAACAGTTGGAGGGTATGCAGTAGATGTAATATATCTTGACTTCAGAAAAGAGCAGCTGGGGAATTCTGGGAGTTGAAGTCCATAGGTATTAAATCAGGGATCTCCAACCTTGGCCACTTTTAAGACGTGTGGACTTCAACTCCCAGAATTCCCCAGTAAGTCATGTAGGGTAACTTTCTTAAGAGATGGTGGGTATGCTTAATATATCTTGAGTTGAGCAAAGTGGGGGGAAAAAGAGCTGGCTGGGGAATTTTGGGAGTTGTAGTCCACAAGTCTTAAAAGGGCCACATTTGCAGACCCCTTGTAAGGTCCAAAGAGACCACATGCCCCCAAAGAATTGCTTATGGACACCATCCCCACACCAAATTCCCTCTCTTCAGGAAGCCCTCTTCCACATTTTCCCTACCCCACCTGTTTTATTATGTTATTTACATCTGCACAACTCAAGGTGGAAAACTCTATCTAATCCTCCTTCCTATTTCCCCCCTCCAATAATAAGCCTGTGAGTTTGAGAAAGGTCCTGGCCCAAAGGCGCCCAGCTGACTTTCCATCCTTACAGCGAGACTAGAACTCACCATCTCCTGGGGATTGGCTTATATTCAACCAGCCACCTTCCCCCACCCCCCCAACCACCAGCCAGTGAGGGGTTGAGAAAACGACTGGTCCAAAGTCACCCAGTGTATTTTCATGGAGAAGGCAAAACTAGAACTCTCTGGTTCCTAGTGATTGGCCCAAAGTCACCCAACCAGCTCCCACTCCCCACATGTAACAAGCACCCAGTGAGGTTGCCTGGTGACTGGTCCAAAGTCACCCAGTTTTCATGGATAAGGCAAAACTAGAACTCTCCGTCTCCTAGCAATTGTCACCCAGCTGGCTTTCATGTCTAAAACAGGACTAGAATTCACCGTCTCCCGGTTTCCCGGTTTCCTACCTGATGCCGTAACTACTATATCTACCCCTCTTAAACATCACTCATGTCTCCCACTCCCTGTCTTCTCTCCAAGCTCAAAAGCCCTTGGGATCTACTCAGTCATAACCATTTCTTTGCCCTTCTGGAGATCATCTCCATTTCTTGGATCTTGTCATGCCCCTGGTAGAGACTGACTCTGCTGGAGAGGAGGAACAGCCGACAGGGAGTGGAAGTGTGGCTCCAGGGGGTGTTGAAGAGGCTGGGGAAGGGCAGAGGCCATCTGGGCAGTCAGAGGAGGACCCAGGCCCATCCCCTCTCTATCCTAGGGCAGGCAGGGAGGAGAGGATCAAGGAGAGACATGGTCTACTCAGGAGGAGAGGGCCTTGATCCTCTTCATGGGCTGCAGCTGTGACAACTGAATAAGATGATAGACATGCGTATGGGCGAGTGCTGGAAACAAAGCGTGGAAATATCTCTAGTTTATGGTTCCTCTCGGAGTTTGGCATCCTTCCCAGTGTGTGTTCTGTTATCTGTGGACGTCCTCCAGCCTTTATCTTGCCTGGTTTGTGTTGCTTGCTGGTTTGTGTTGTTTTCCATCAAGAATATTTGGAGCTTGGAAGCAAAGTGAAGGAATAAAAGGGGCTTCACCTGTTTTTTGTGACTTTTTATTTGGTATCCCACCCTGGGTCATCACAGATCTCTTTCCTAAGTCTAGCTACCTAATTTAAATCCAGGAGGAGGAGGGAGGGCTTCCTTTTGGCTACGCCTGTGTGCTTGAGAACCCAGAAGGCTGGGCCACTTTAGCTTTTGTTCAGCTTCTCGTTTTTTGCCAAGTTCCTACCACTCATTTCCATGAAGGCCAAGACGGCCATGGAAAACTCAAGATGCTTCTCATCACCGGTGCAAATAGGAAATGACTTGCAGATTAAGTTTCCCTCGCAGGAAAAGTTCGAATCCACCTCCTCCTCTTCCTCCTCTCTGCAAACCCCACTCCCTTCTAGCACTGATAATACACTTCCTCCTCCTCTTCTCCTCCTCCTCCTTTCCACAAACCCTTTTAGCTCCTCCTCCTATTCTTCCTCCTCCACCTCCTCCCCACAAACCCTCCCTTCTAGTATTGACAATGTTCTCTAGTTGGGGCATAAAACGTCTGCAAGAAAATAACCCAGCTCAGAGCACCAAGGATCCCTCAGTTCCCCTCTTCCTCCTCCTCTTCCTTTCCACAAACCCTCCTTATAGCTCCTCCTCTTCTTCTTCCCTCCTTTTCCTCTCTGCAACCCCCCCCTCCATTCTAGCCCTGATGATGTTCCCTAGTTGAGTCATGAAATGTCTGCAAGGAAACCACCCAGGTCAGAGATCCCCTAAGGACCCCACAATCTTCCTCTTCTTCCTTCCTCCCCCTTTTCCTCCACTCTGCAAACCCCACTCCGTTCAAACCCTGATGATGGTTACCCAGAAGGGGTGGTGGTGTCATGAAAAGGTTCTGTGAGGAAACAGCCTGGCTCAGAGAACACCCAGGGACCCCACAAAACTTAAATTTTTTAAAAAAAAGCATGGAAAAAGAAACCACCCCTCCAAGGCTCTTGCCTGGATGGCTCCTGTAGGCTCCTGGGGAATTGTCCAAGATGACAATGCTGGACAGGTCATTGTGGACCACAGAAAGGTCTTTGATGTAACTGCCCAGTTCCAAAGTGCAGTGCTGGGGGAGACGACAAAAAACAGAGAGGGTGAAAAAACAGCCAAGCAGGAAGGGCGGCAGCTCAGGAGCCCTGGGTGGGGTGGGGGCCTCGGGCTCCAGGTGAGGGGAAGGTGTCTGTGTGGCCACTCACCTGCCTGTAGTATCTCCTCCTGAGGATGCTCCTGTTGTTATCTAGCTTGTCTGCTACAGCCGAGCCGTAGATTTCCATGCTGGCTGTGAAGACCACGAGCTCATACCACTGGCTCACCTGAGAAGAGGAAGAGGAGAGGGAGGAGGAGGAGAGGGAGGAAGAGGGAGGAGGAAAAGGAGAGAAGTAGAAGTGGTGGAGAAGAGGAGGAGGGGGGGAGGAGAAGGAGAGGAAGAAGAGAGGGAGGAGCAGGAGAGGAGGAAGGAGAGGAGGAAAGAAGAAGAGGAGAGGAAGAGGAGGAGAGAAGAGGAGGAAGGAGGAGGAGGAGAGGAGAGGGAGGAGGAGAGAGGAGGAAGAGAGGAGGAGAGGGAGGAGGGAGAGGAGGAAGAAGAGAGGGAGGAGGAGGAAAAAAGGTGAGAGTGCTTTTCTTACAGAGATTCATTCCGAGACTCCAAAGACCAAGGGAGGACAACTATGGCAACTTTCAAGCATGGCTGGTTGAGGAATTCTGGGAGTTGAAGTCCCCAAGTCTGAAAGGGGTCACGTTAAACCCCCCACCCTCCCTCGGCTCCACAACCTCCACAACTTTTAAGCCATGTGGAGTTCCAACTCCCAGAATTCCCCAGCCAGCCATGCCGGATTCATCCGCACAATGCAGGTGGTCCTTGACTTACGACCCTCAATGGAGGCCGGGACATTTTAGGTGGCTTCAGCGAGAAATTGGTGAAGGGAGCGATTGCCCCATTTTTTTATGACTTTTCCTGACCCGGTTAAGCCGTACCGCCGTTGTGAAGGGAATCCGGCTTCTTCCTGCATCAACTTGGCTCGCTGGAAGGGTTGCAAAAAAAGGAGCATCCCACGACACATACCCCCCTCCCCCTCCGGGATGCTGAGGCCGTCATAACTCCGAGTCACTTGCCAAGCAAGCCTGAACTTTGATCCCGTGACCACGGGGATGGTCAAGGGTGAAAAAGTGATCCTTAAGTCCAGTTTTTTTCCGTGCCGTTGTCGCCTTCAAACGGTCCCTAAACGAATGGTCATAAGTCAAGGGCAGCCTGGAAAGCCGGTCGTTAAGCAAATCCAGCTTCCCCACCTCCACTTTGCTTGTCCGAAGGTCGCAAATGGGGATGCTGTGACCATCATAATTTTGGCGGGTTTTTTAAAAGTTTTTAATATGTAAGTTTTCCTTTGACATAGATGCAAGTGCTTAATAGACAGTGTACTGTCAGAGTCAATTTACAAAAAATATACAGTCCAAGCAGTAAGAACCTTCTTCGCTTATGTAGAATGCCTATTCTTCTCATTTCTAAGTGCTACCTGTGTTATCTAACCGTGGGCGAAACAACCTGTCAACTCATAAAACATTCCTAGGCCTGTTTTAGTAGTTGCCATAATAAAAAGAAGGGGGGGAAGGAAGGAAATCTGGGAGGGGGAGAGAGAGAGGGAGGGAGGGAGGGAGAGTGAAAGAGAAAAAGAGTCAGACAGAGTGAAGAGAAAGAAAGAAAAAAAGCAGACAGACAGAAAGAGTGAAAGAGACACACAGAGAGAGACAGACAGAGACACAGAGAGAGTGAAGAGACAGACAGAGAGAAACACACACACACACAAAGAGAGACAGACAGACAGACAGACAAAGAGTGAAAGAGACACACCCAGAGAGAGAAAGAGACAGAGAGAGACAGAGCCTGAGCTACCTGTCAGTCTTCTGATGGAGAGTCAACAGCCCCCAGGACTGGAGATGGCTGATGCGGAAGAGGAAGAACAGCTGGGTCTGACACGCAGAAGGCAGAGTAGAGGAGTGGAAATCTATGGGCCAGTCCTCGGGACAGAAGAGCCACCACTGCTAGCAAACCCCACCCTAGCTCTGGGGATAAAAGGCAGGGGGCGGAGACGAAGAGGTGTGGCAGACAACTATTCATCTTCTGGCAGGACGAGCCTGCAAGAGAAACTTTTTGCTGGAGTTGCCAGCAAAGGAATCTTTTGATTTCCCATCAGAGGGTTTGTCGTTTGGGAAGCTGGGTCAGAACAGACCTCCCGAATCATTGTGTGTTTCGTGTGTGTTTGAGGGGAACTGTCGCATCCGTAGTCAAGGCACTGTCATCAGAAATGCGCGTGCGCACACACACACACACACACACACACAGAGCGTGCTTACCACTTCTAGAAAAAAGTCAACGTGCGGCCTCTTATGTACAAAAAAGCGGACAGGATGCTTATCTATGACGACCTGGGGAAAGGAACGGTCATTAGAAAAAGGAACGGTCAAAGAGCCACGAAGTGCACGGACAGCCAGCACTGACAAAACTCAGGAAATTGTTCAACCAAATCACACCCATTTCCCAGAACCAAACTACTGAGGGCCCCAGGTAAACCTACAGAACTGGTTACCTAAGACCACAACTTCAGCCCGTCCAATCTGGTAGGCAGGGAAGGTAGAGCAATAGGAATTATATACCACTTCACGGTGCCTTGCAGACTGTTGTCAACTCATAAATGTTGTACCTTTTGACTCTTGACGGATGTATCTTTTATGTACACTGAGAGCTTATGCACCGAAGACAAATTCCTTGTGTGTTCAATCACACTTCGCCAATAAAAAATTATGTTCTATTCTGTTCTATTCTTATTCATATTCTATATTTTATTATTCATTCTATTCTATTCCATTTCATTAATAACCTATGATTATCACTAAGTACTGTATCTTATGATTCTTGATGAATGTATTGGTGCTTATGCACTGAAGACAAATTCCTTGGGTGTCCAATCACACTTGGCCAATAAAAGAATTATTCTATTCTGTTCTGCTCTGCTCTCTCTATATTCTATTCTTCTATTCTATTCTATTCTATTCTATTCTATTCTATTCTATTCTATTCTATATTCTTATATCGATTCTTACTATGTTACAGAGCCCAATTATGACATTGAACATGTAAACAAGCTAAATTCACTACTAACATGGGCAACATCCTGCCCACACACTTTTATCTTTCTTGGTGACTTCAATCTACCTCACATTAACTGGACCCTAAATGAATGTAAAACTGAACCCATACATGCGACCTTCTACAATGCTGTAACAAACCTGGAACTGGAACAACTAATAACCAACAATACTAGACTTAACAACTGCCTCGATCTCAACTTCTGCAATGGTTTGAATTTAATTTATGGAATACAAATTAAAGAACCCTTTTCCAACAGTGACCACAGCATGATTGACTTTTGTCTCAACATACGTCCACACAAAAAATCAACACAACAATGTGATCCCCAATTATAACTTCAAAAAAGGTAACTATGATCTTATAGACAACAATCTCTCATCCTTTGATTGGCAATTTCTATTCACTGGATGCAATCCTGTTGAAGACCATTACAACATATTTTTACTTGAAGTCAAAAGAGTCATCAAATTATATGTACCAATAACAACTCCAAAAACCAGAAAAAAACAGATTACCCATAACAATAAGGAAAGTTCAATCCAAAAAGAGATCACTTTGGCAGAAAAACAAAACTGGTCACGTTGCCAACTTCAAAAGCCGATACAAAAATTTATGCCACCAGATAAAGACTGAATGCACCAATTATCACATTAAACAAGAGGAAAACCTTCTATGCACCAATTCCACCCGTGCTTTCTACAACTTTGTAAACAACAAACTAAAAGACTCAAGGTTCATCCCACCCCTGAAAGGACCTAATGGTAAAGACTGCAACGACGACACTATTAAAGCCAACCTCTTTAACACATTCTTTGGCTCAGTATTTGTAAACAGCAATGGATCATGCCCAGTATTTCCTAGTCGAACCACAGATAACTACAATGATCTAATACATATCAATTTTATAGAAGACAATGTTGAAAAAGCACTACGCAATCTAAAACCATCTCCATTGGACCGGATGGAATATGTGCCTACTTCTTAAAAAAGCTATCCACTGCCATAGCTGAACCTCTAAGCATAATCTTCAAAAAATCTTTCAGGACCAGCTCCTTGCCAAAACTATGGTCATAAGCCACAGTCTTCCCTGTGGTAACATATTTTATTAATCATTTTCTGTAAGTCCTTTGTACAGCCATAGAGATAAGGATATGCAGGCATTCCTGGTGGGAGTAGGAGTACTTTTACGCAGGAGTGTCTCATCCTGTTATCTGCAGGCTTAGAAGGAACAGGGAAATAGGTGATAATTATAGCTACACAGGGAAATAGGTGATAATTATAGGTACACAGCAAGGACTTTCGTCAGCGGGACTTTCTGTGCCTGTATGTTATTATCTTGTCAAGGTCATTTGTTTTCTGAATCTTCAATAAATACTGCTGCCTGAGTTCGCTCAGAGCTGGCATTTGCTCAGACGTTTCCCTGCGTCTCATTTCAAGTGCCAGACCACCACAAGTGGTGACCCCGACGTGATAGCTTGGAAAGGCTATACGTTCCGACGTGATAGCTTGGAAAGGCTATACGTTTCCCGCATCCTATACTCATCGTCGCGGACGTCGACTGGGCCCTCATCTTCTTCGCTGGACGGAGATAGATTCTTTTCGTGAGTATGGGGGGAGATCTCTCGAAGGCTCAGAAAGAGCACATCAGGGAATTGAGAGGGATCATAGGGAATAGTTTTGGTTTTGGAGTTCATAGTAGAGGACATGCCGTAGGAAAGAAAGAAATTGAGGACTTATTACAGTATGTTTGGAAACATATTCAGTCATACCCAGAGGAAGGTAGTATTAGAGTCCTGGAAAAAGATAGGGAAATTTTTGCACGAAGAACCTCGTGTCCCTTCTTCAATTTTGTTAACTTGGAGGGTGATTATAGATGCGTTAGCTACTTATGAACAACCGCTCCTAGCACCCCCTGAAGAAGGTTTGCCGCCTTACCATGCGGTACGTTTGTTGCCACCGATGGCACCTCCGGATAAATCCGGGGGACTGTCAGGCGCTGGAAATACTTTATCAGAGGATAAGAGTTTACCTTTAAGAGTTCAAGTAGATGCAGTTACTGCAGCTATTCAAGAAGCAAAAAATAGAGGGGTGTTATCAGGAGATGATTTAGTGGAGTTTGGAGTAGAGGTTCAACTTAATCCAGTAGAAATTGTCGTGGACGCTGCGTTGAATCCGCAGCGGGAGTGGAAGCCTCTAGCTCTCAGGATTTTAAAGGAAGTTAAGCAAGCAGCAAAAGAGTATGGTGTTAGATTGCCATATACTCAGGCGTTGTTAGAAGCAGTTGGTTATGGAAATAAAATGATTCCGGCTGACTGGAAAGCTCTGTTGAATATGATTTTAACTCCAGCTCAATATTTGGTGTTAGATCAGAAATGGAGACAGCTGGCAGTCCAGAGGGGAACAGCAAATGTTATCCCAGATCAGCTTTACGGAGCTGGTAATTATACAACAGTAGAACAACAGAGAGATGGAATGCCTGAGGAGGGGTTCGTTCTTCTCCCACAATTAATTTTTCAAGCCATAGGGGCTCTCCCTGACGGCGAAGGTGGCGAGAAGACCTTCACTAACATCAAACAAGGGAACAATGAACCCTATGAAAATTTTGTTAGCAGATTGAAATTGGCTATTGAAAGACAAATTGAAAATCAATTCGCCCAGAAAGAATTGCTTTTGAAGTTAGCAATAGAACAAGCTAACACAGATTGCAGAAAGATTTTAAATCCAGTTATAGCAAGTGGAGAGCGAGAAATCGCAGATTTGATTAATGCATGTAGGAAGGTTGGGAGTCAGTCTTTTAACATGGAGACTTTAGCTTTGGCTTTGCAAGCAGGAAGTGCTCAAAAGGGAAAGTGTTTCAATTGTGGGAAGCCTGGACATTTTAAAGCGCAATGTCGGGCTCCTGGAGGGGGTCAAAGTCAGCGAAATAAGAGATCAATGGGACAGAGTGTTCGTCCTAAATCAGTGTGCCCGAAATGTAAGAAAGGATACCATTGGGCATATCAGATGCTCCTACAGTTTTTACTGATGGAGGAAAAGTTTTTGGTGCTTGTGTTTGGAAGGATAAATCTGGAATTTGGCATACAAAAGTGACATCAGAGCAGAAGTCTGCCCAGCAGGCAGAACTTGCTGCTGTAGTTTTGGCCTTTCAAAATTTTCAAAATCAGGCTTTTGATCTAATAGTGGATTCTTTGTATGTGTATAATTTGTTACCCTTTGTAGCAGGTTCCTATTTGTCTCCTGGAATATCACCTAATATTTTAAGATTGCTTTTGTTGTTGCAAGGATGTTTGGAGCAGCGTGTGCATGCGTGTTTTGTTGCCCACATTCGTAGTCATAGTAATTTGCCTGGAATTTTATCACAAGGTAATGCCAAAGCTGACAGTGCTGTAACTTCAGCTCCTGGGGCTTCCGGCAATTCAAGATCATTTAAATCTAGCCTTATATACTTTAAATTTTTTAAATTTGTCTGGTAACCCCCCTGCGAGTGCGGCCAGCAGGCATTTTTCTTCTCCTTCTACAGATGCGGTGAGACCTCGGGTGTTGGTGCGGTTCCTTCCGGATCCGGCATGGGTTCCTGCTGAGCTGATTACGTGGGGACGTGGTTATGCAGCAGTAGAACATCTTGGTCAAATTCGTTGGGTTCCTGGTCGGTGCGTTCGGCCTGATCATTCGCAGGCACCGGTGAAGGAGGTTTCGGAGAAGCAGGATGGCGTTCCTGTGGTTCCTGATTCTCTTGATGCCAGCAGTCCAGGCGCGACGTTGTGAAGGCTGGGAAAAGATGACTGCTTATCTGAGATTGCCAACTTGTATGCAGCAGGTTCCTCTGGGGAACCGGACTAAATTGATCTGCAAACAGCGGCATCCTTTGATTTTTCCAGCATATTGGTCCTGGCATAAGGATCAGGACATTCTTTACTCGGGACCTGATAAGGATATTATATCTTCAGCCTGTGCAACAACTCTGATCCTGTTTAATATTTCTGTTTCAGACTATGGACAATATCGGTGTCAATTGGAGTTGCCTAAATTACCTTATACAGACTCTCTTTCCATTCGTCTTATGCCTCCACGGACTCTAATACGGAGGCGAAGAGCTGTTATTATCTCAGAAACTAGAGACCTTGGAGATAATTTATGGAAAGAAAATTCCTATATCAAGGACATTCGGATTGCGGCTAAGGGTTTAAATGTTACTAATTGTTGGCTTTGTATGCATGTACCTGGGTCTGGGAAAGGTGGTAATTTGTGGACTCAGATTTCTAGGGCAGCAATCCCA